CCTACCATGTGGAGATAGGGGTGAGAGAGTATGTGGAGAAAACAGGTGGGCGATAATGAGCGACAACCATCAGACTTATGAATGAGGTCATTAACACTACCTCATCCACATTATACCAACAGAGGGCTTAAATACATGAATAATTCAAGGAGAGATGAGCAGGAGAACCTGCCCATCTGTGCCCAGAGCTAGATGCTGCCCTACAGACTCATAAGCAAATAAAACTATGACTGCATTTAAGCCACTAAATTGCAGAGTGGTTTGCTATGCAGCAGTAGGGGAGGGGGACAATTATCCATCACTTACAAAGGGTTCCAGTGATGAGAGCAATTGCTTAACTGGAAAGTGGGCATGCAAGCTGGGATGCATGAAACAGAAATGCCTATTAACTTGAATCAAAGCTGGAGAAATCGTGTTGACAGACAACAGGAGCTTGGACTCTATAGTCAGCCTGTCTCAGTCCAAGTCCTGGGCCTGCCCTTCCTCTACCCCAGCCGTGTAGTTTTGAGTAAGTTATTTCAGTCTCTTCTGTTCTCCGCATACTCATCTGTGGAATGGACACCAGTCTGTTGTTTCCTTGGTTTTAGTTACCAGCAATCAATTGTAGTCTAAAAATACTAAATGGACTATTTCTGAAATGTCTAATCTGTATGTTTTAAATGGCACACTGTGTTGATATCTATCTTATTGAAAGTTTTTGTTCTTTAGCATAGTGAGTGTATGTAGAGGAGAAATTGTGATTGTAGGCTTCCACACTATGTGCGGTTTTGGGTTCACCAAGGTCTCAGAATGAATTCACCAAAGATAAGGAGAAGACTGTCAACCCCCCTGGAGTCCCTGTGAGGAGCTTCACTTAATAGTGGCGTTTCTTTTAGTGCTGTATGGCCCAGATAAAGCAGGGAGTACACGAAGCTACACTGTTTTATTGAAGGCAACAGTCGAATAAAGAGGCAGCATGTTGGCTCGTAAAGATGACAGATCAAGAACAAAATCTTTTCATTGAAGTTCAGAGTTCGGTTTCCTTTCATGCTATTGTAAAAATAACCAATGTGGTATTTTATTAAACTTGCTTAAATCTCACTGCTTTTAATGAGGTCAGGTTTTACTACTAAAAATCACAATTTTAAATTTGAGTGAGATTTATTAGAAGGCACATGAGAATTTCACTTAAAAAGGAGATAGCATTATTTTGATTATAATTGTTATTGTCTGTGAAGCCTATATTTTGAAATATTCTGTTTTCCAAACTGCTTTTATTATATACAGTTGCTCTTTATATCATTTAATTAAAAGTATATGGGAAAAAAGAATCAGAATATTTGGCCAGTACAAGATAAAGTTATGTCAGCAAAACATAAGATGTCAGTCAAAAGTCAAAATACTTGGCAGTTCTACAAATTTTTATACAGCTAGTGCTGACAACTGAGACTTTCCTACAGGGTATTTTATGACCCACTGGCCAACAGAAGATATTATGTGCTCAAAACATTCTATTGCTACTTCATAGCAGCATACCTGTAGCAATGGAATAGTCACAAAGGAAAAAATCTAAGCAACCCCCCCCCAGTTCAATTTCCTAGAATTCCCTGGAACTACCAAAGAAAACTTGTTAATATTTCTTAAGTGTGTTTAGGTATAGATGATATAAGCACACACACACACACACACACACACACACACAGAGAGAGAGAGAGAGAGAGAGAGTGAGAGAGAGAGAGAGTGAGAGAGAGAGGTAGTTGACACAGCAAGACTATAAATGTGCATTTAAAAATGTAACTTATTTGAAAGTTGTCCTTCTTTTGTAGGCAGTATAATGAGTTTATCACAACTTGGCATACTGATAAATAATTTGAAATATGGTATACAAAATGTAAGGTATACATCTTTACACTATACAATAAGAAAAAATTAAGGGGCTTTTAGCTCTTCAGCTTTAGAGTGACTTGCCTAACCTCAGTTTCTCCACTTGACAATGAGATGGTGACATTACCCAGTTCCTGAGGTTCTTTTCTTTGAACTTAGAGAAGTTACTATATGTAAAGTGCTAGGGGCATTGCTTGTCATTTACAAAAAGCACTCAATAAGGCTTCAGCTCTTGTTAGTGTTTTAAGTACTTTTATTGGATATCCTTGACCATCCAAGTCACCGAATCTTAAATAAAGATGTGCATCTTTCCAAATAATTCAAATACAGTGCATTACCTGCTTCATAATGTACAGGATCCACTGAGTTTCTGATAACTAAGAAGGACTTTGGCAGCATAATCAAATGATTTAGATGGTGTTTAAGATTGGATTCAAAATGTCCAGGAAACAGGAAGAACCAAGCAGTTACAGTTTTGTCTTCAAATACACCTGCTGCTAGCAAATGCATTCTTTTGCATCCTGCAGGCAGCAGACAAATGTCTTTTGCAGGTTCAGTTGGCTCTGTCCATTTGAATCATACTGCCTTGAGCCCAAGAAATAACTCTGGTCAGGAAGAATATAAAATTTTATAAGAAGAAATTACAAAAAAAGCATAAAGTTACAAACTAAGCTGTTAAAGTCATCACAGGGCCTGGTTAAAAGTGGGAGCTTTGGATGTTCACCGTAACTGAACACTGTAGCAAGATAAAGGAAAGCTACCAGATTAGCAGCTACTTAGGACCCCAGATATTTCTAGGAGCAGGACTCTTTCTAAATTTCCCATGCCTTCTGCTTTGGGGGCGGGGGTCGGGTGCTATTCTTCAGTAAAAGCCCTCTGAGAATCCCATCCAATTCCACCAGCTGCCTCTCTCATTAACTTACTGTTGGGGTGGAAAAGGCCAATGGGAGATTATTCTAATGATAGCATGCACCTCATAAAGAAATCTGCCAAATGTACTTTTCCATAGAGCATCATTTTTTTTACAGCTTTTCATGGGTCCAAGAAAGCATTACATATAAAATATGATTTCCAGAAGTCTTGATGATAGTAAAAATTATTCCTTCAAATGTTTGGAGTGGGGAAATGTCTGTCATTGTACAGGTTTACACAAAGAGTAATGTGAGAGGCTCTTACAAAACCAGAGAGTGTTTTTAGAAGGGCCCAAGAACATTTAAATTTGGGGTATGTATTTCTGCAGGCCTGGTTTGCATTTGTAAGGGTCACCTTACAAATTTAGTCTGGCAGATAACACACTTGGTATAATTAATCAACAGGTGGGAATGGGTGAATACTAACAAGTTTCTTAATCTCTCTGTACCTCGATCTCATAACCTGTAAGGCAGACTGATTAGCGATCTTGTAATGAGGGTTATGGTGAGAGTAAATGAATTAAATCCCATAACACTCTTAAAATAGTAGCATAGTAAATAACTGCTATAGAGCTATTTAAATAAATGTTTCCGCCAACAACAGCTTTTTTTTTTGCAAATAAGCATAAAGATGTAAAAATATCAACATTGGAGAGCAAATAGATTTAGTAGGCTTGATTTCGTTGGTGACTGGAGAATCCTGAAGAAAATTCCGGCTCGCTTCTACCAGCTCTCCAGGTGTGCACCTGTCCTATCCCTCGAACCATGAGAATGGCTTTCCAAAGTCTTAGCAAAGAAGCCCATGTGGGCAACCTTTACTCAGCAAAATTCATTTGGCACCTCAAGGCCCAATATATGCCCCCCTGTTTTGGAGCTGAAATGGACCAATGGAATCCTATTACTAACGGGACCTTTCAAAGGGTAACGGGGAAGAAGTCTCTGCTACAAGTTTCAAAGTGTCAAGTAACTCCAGACCAGATCTGTGCAGGTGCCTTGACTATGACCTTTGCACAGTATGAAGGGGCACAGAAGGTGAAGGAATCACACGGGAAATTTCTGGCTATTCTCCAGAAATTATGTCTTGACCTCTGACACTGCTTGCACACCCATTAGCCTTCTTTCTCTTAAATAGTTTGGAGATTTATTTCATAAGGCCTCTTTGTGTAGTGTCATCCCATCTCTAGATCTCTAACCTTCCTTGCCTCCAGACATGCTACCCAGTCTCTGAAAGCACTCAGAAGCAAAGCATCCTCCAGCTGACCTGTATGTCCCAAGCCCAACACCCTTTCCTGGTGCCTGGCCAGTGACAGTTCCGAGGAGTGCTTTAGGTAGTAGACCTAGCAGCCTGCCGGGTCTCCACACATTACACGCCCCTCCCTCAACCCCCATCATCTAGCCCAGGCTCTTCTGCCTTAGCAGAGATGCCTAGGCACAAGTGCTCTTTGGTGGAACAGAGGACCCGCCTCCTGGCATTTACCTTGCCTGTCACCCGGCTTCGCGCAACCACGCACGCCCCCTCCGGCGGCGCACTCACCTGCAGCTGAGATCCGCTGACGTTGCTGGCGGCCGCGTCTGGCCGGTCTGCGGCTCCGGATCCGCGCAGAACCGTGATGTGCAGCGTGAGCAGCAGTAGCCCCAGCAGCAGGAGCAGTTCCGCGGCCAGGCGCACCATCCTCTTGAGTCGCGCGGCTTTAGGACCCCGCGCGGCGGGCGGCGGCGGCGCCGGGGGAGGAGGAGTCGGAGCCCCGGAGCCCGGCTGCGCTGCTCCCGCCTCGGCCCCTGGCGGGGCCCCGTTCCCCGGGCCCGCAGGGCTGGCTCTGGGCTCGGCCGATCGCGCGGGGCCCGGGGAGCAGGAGCAGCCGCCACCGCCGCCCCCACACCACAGCGGAGCCACCGCGGGGCTGGGGACGTCCAAGCCGGTGGCCGAGCAATCCCAGGCGCTGTCCGGCGGTGGCGGCGGTGGGGACACTGGACTGTCCGAGACCCAAGCCAGGCCAGGGTCCACCCTGCGGCCAGGGAGTTGTGGGGGCGGCGGCGGGGCGGGCGCAGCCGAGCCCCCGAGCGCACATGGGCGCCCCAGATGTGGCCGCGGTGCCGCAGCTGGAACGGGAGACGCCGCCAGAGGAGCGCGGGGAAGAGGTGGAGGAGGAGAAGGAGGGCTTCAGTGGCAGCCCGCAGTTACCTCCACTCTCGGCTCCCCCGCCCCCGCTGCCCCGAGCCACTCACCCTCAGGGCCACCACCTTCCTCACTCCGAGCTCCTGGGGGCCGCCAGCCTCGTAGCCCCGCACGCCCAGTCCCCGGATGGGTTGGCACCCGGTCACCGAGGTTGTCACTGTTTGAGGATAACTGGGGGCGCCCCGCCGGCGCCTGTGTCCGCCTTCTCGGCTGTGCTAAGTGTGCACTGCGGAGGTCGCTGTGGTGGAGGGGCTAGCCCTCTGCTCGCACTAATGCTTGGGACTGTGGGCCAGTGGGGAGAGCCTAGGCCACCTGAAGAAAAGTTTATGGGCAAAGTAGAGCTGGAGTTGTAGGGGTGGAAAACTGAGGGGCTAGACAAACCAGGTGTCTACAACCACACTGTGCGCCCTGGCTTTGAGCAGGCGAGCTTGGGGGAGTGGCACAGTGTCTGTTCTTCCGGAAGGGTCTTGACACTAGCAGATGGGCACTGGGCTGGCTGATCACTGGGTACCGCAGATCGCTCTCCCGCAGCGCCTGGGAGAGCCAGGATTGAGTCCGCTAGTCCACTTAAGCGCGCAGGTGTCGTGTGGGAGGCTGCAAGGGACTCGGTGTGCGCGGTGGAGGCACTCGGACGTCAGCGGGGCGCTGAGTAACTCTTAGCAGGCTCGAGTCTGGGGGGGGGCTCATCCCGGGGGCGCCGCGCCTAGAGGGGACTTGAGGGCTGCCGAAACGCAGCCGCTGCTCCTGCGCCACCTCCTCATGACCGCGCTGCAGCCTCGGGCTCCGGGGAACGACTCATGCCTTGCAAGGGATGCAGATGACGAATGGAATGGCTCAGCGCTGGACCAGTAGAACGCGTGATCCTCTCCTCTGACGCTAGAGTGAACTGGGTCTGGCGTGGCTCTGGCTCCTGCCTTCCCGAAGTGGCTCCTAGTGGCAAGCGGTCTGTTAAGCTGGAGACTTTTATACCGTGTTCCCTCCGCCTCCTTCCTCCCGAGCCAGCCCAGCCCTTCCCTCCCGGTGAGCCCAGCCCCAGCCAGCCCCAGTCAAGCATGAGCACACGTTCCCACAGCCCTTGTCACACATTTCCATTTCTCATCCGGACCCCAGGACCAAAGGATAAATCCTTCAGAGTCTCCTTAGGTGAACGCAATTAAATAAATAAAACTTTCTTACCCAGGCGCCACTCTTCTCTTTTCTACCTCTTTCTATGACCACTAGAAACGGATAAAAAGTTCTTAATTAAACTCCATTTAGAGCTTAAACCTTTACTTTGGAAACCTCAAGACAAATTCTTTCACTACTCCAAACGTTCCTTGGGTCGCTGTAGCATTTGTAGAATTTAACTAGCCGCGGTTCAGTATACAACTTACATCTGTTCGTATCCGGCTGTCTGCCTCTTTGAAAATGCTGGAAATATCTTTAAAATTCTAGCCAAACCCAGCAGATCATTAATAAACTGGCAGCTATTTATAAAGTTCACGATGGTATCTTTACTTTTCTTTTGGGATTGGGTTCCCCCCGCCCCCTTCCCCGGCCCCTCTCCCTGGGCAGAGTGCTTGCTGAGGACTGTTAGGCTGCCTGGCATCCCTTTGCTATCTCCAGGCTCTAAAATACCAATAATTGTCAACCCGAGCGCTGAGGGAAGAAATTGAAACAATAAACCTTGGTGGTTCAGATGGGAGATCAAAGGGGATCCTAGCAGCTTTGGAATCCCATAAGGATTCCCCTGTGTGTTTTCTAATTAGAATCACTTAAGGGCAGTAGGCGACCGAATCAGCACACAGGTGGAGTATATAAATTAAGATGGCAAACTAGAGCCCTGTAGCCATAGGTAGGGTAAGGATGGCTGCATTCCTGGCCTTTCCAGTGGTGCTGTGGACAAATGATTCCTGTTGCCAAAGGCAGGCTGGTCTAGATTAGGGCAGAAGGGATGCTCCGTTCTGTCATTTTTTTTTTTTTTTTCCCTCACAGTCTCCACATGTGAGCCTAGACTGCATTTCCTCTCATCCAAAAGTTACATATTTTTCCTCCTAAGGAAAAATTACTCCGGGGGGGGGGGGACTTGGAAACTCTTGAAAGGAATGTGAATTCTTATAAAATTATAACTGTAAATTTAAAGATTAAAATTTGTTATAAAATATAAATTGATCTGGGGTTAGAAGCCTTTATTAGTCATTGAACAAACGTGTGAATGAATGCTACTAAAGTCCCTTCAATCTGGTAAGCACACACCTGTCGCATTCGCAAAACAAAACTACCAGTAACACCCTGCTTCTGAGGGATTTGGGGAACATTGGCTTTCAGATTACAAGAAAAGAGAGCTGTGTGTACAATGCACCAACAAGCCGTGTTTCAAACACATCTCAGAAACCATTCCAGTAGCTGGCAGAAATTTGAAAATAATCCTACTTCCTTCAAAATCTCCAAGGTCCTGGATTCATATCCTTATTGCTGGCCATACTACACTCCAGTGGAATGTGTCTGTTAGCCTGCCCTTAATCCCAGCAGACATGGATTATGCCATCTTTGTGAAAGACCAATATAGACCCCACTTACCCCCAGGATACTGTTTCCTTATTCCTAAATTGTCAGCTAGAAGACATTTTCCAGTCACATTTGGATCTAATATGAGTGTAGAGCTCTGTTACTTCTGAGGCTCCTGAGTGATTATGGATGTGCACACCCTTTTGGCATGGCAGTCTAAGAGAAAGAAGGAGAATTTATGCAGACTGTTGTTCGGAAGGGAGCCATTGAACTAGATATATCTGCACTTGGCTTTGTTCAAGTGAGAAAGACACTCTTTTCTTCAAATACACGTGACGATCTGATATTTACAACTATCATTACCTCTCCAGACATTGGCAGTCTTCACAGAGGCACCTTCCTGATCATCACTAATATTTTTAGGATTGAGTACATGTCTTACATAGAGTAATGTTCACTTTTTAAAATGAGAATGGATTAGTTGTACAAAGTAAGAAACTTCATTAGCACATCTACACACATCTTATGATATACTTGATTACCTTTCTTATCCTTTGTTCTCCTTCCTAACTTTCCCTTTTGTCTTAGTTAGGTTTCTATTGCTGTGATAAGCCCCACAGCCAAAGCAATGGGGGGTGGGGAGGGTTTATTTCATCTTACAGCTTGCATTACATAACGAAGGGAAGGCAGGAAAGAACCCAAGGCAAGAGCTGATGCAGAAGCCATGGAGAAGTGCTTCTTACTGGCTTGCTTCTTCTGGCTTGCTTAGCTAGCTCTCTTACATATCATGGGCTCACTTAACCCAGGAATGGCACTGCCCACAGTGGCCTGGGCCCTATTTTATTCATTGGCAAGTAAGAGAATCCCACAGAGACCTACCTACAGGCTCATCTGATGGTGGCATTTTCTCAAGTGAAATTCCCTCAGATGAACCTGGCTTGTGTCAAATTGACACAAAACTGACCAGCACAACTCAGTTCTCCTTGTCAACTTGACACACAAACACATTATTATTAAACAATCACCTTTCTCTTTTTTACACACAAGATCTCATGTACTTAAAGATGTTATTCAGATTAACACACTTGATCTTTATTCATCCTTTGTGAGGAGCAAGGAGTTTAGTGACTCTATGCATAAAGCTTTTGATAATTTGTGTGTGTGTGTTTCGGGGTGGGGGGAGGATGCTAGCTGGTTGCTTCTAGCATCCTGTGATAAACTGACAAAGGAAAAGAATGAGCTTGTGATAAAAACTAACTGGCTTCAGATGCACATAAACAGCTTGGAAATTTCTAAGTATGCCCTGGAAGAGGATCTTCTGTCCAGCAGACGTAAAGCGCAAATGGTCTAAAATCAAACCCAAGTCCTCATTATAAAGTTGGCTGGATTACAATGAAAATTCAGGCTCAGAGGGTGTCCACCGTTAAAAGTAAGGGCAATGATCGATAAAGAGTGGGATTTTGTAGCCTCTGATGAATAAGTTTGGTTGTTAACTTGACTACATCTGGAATAACTGAAATCCAAAGGGCTGCAGGAAATTTTCTTAATTTCATTATTTGAGGAAGACCTCACTCCTGGTGTCAATATCTATCCCAGTTACAATTTCTATTGCTGATGTAAACAACATGACCAAAAGCATCTTAAGGAGGAAAGGGCTTGTGGAAAAAAGACAGGGCAGGAACTCAATGTAGTAGTTGAAGCAGAGACTGTGGAGCAGAGACTAGCTTACTCTCCAAAGCTTGTGAAACCTACTTTCTTATGCTGCCCAGGGGTGTCATCTCATGTTACACACCAATCCCATCTCACATCAATCACTTATCAAGAAAATGCTCCAAGTCTTGCCCACAGGCCAGTCTAATGAAGGCAATTTCTCAACTGAAATTCCCTCTTCCCAGATGACCCTGGTTTATGTCAACTTTGCAAAAAGAAAAAAAAACTAGCCAGCATATACTTCCACATCTCAAACGGGACTCCTCATACTTTAATGGAATAGATTTCTTTCTAGGATGAGCTTGTTTCACTTGGCATGGCAATCTCTGGGGTTTGTCTAATTTTCTAGCAATAATGTGGCTTCATTCTTTGTGGTTGAATAAAAGAATAAAAATCATTATAATATACATTATATACATATGTATGTACACACACACACACACACACACACACACACACACACACACACTCCCAGGTTTTTTATCCAGGCATCTGTTGATGAGTAGCTAGGCTGGTTCTGTATCTTGGGTGTTGTGAATAATGCAGCAATAGACATGGATATGCACTGATTTTTATGGTGTGTTGATGTAAAGGTCTTTACATGTATCTGTGTTCAGGAGTGTTATAATTGGATCATCTGATAATTCTAGTTTACCTTTTTGAAGCACCTCCATACCAATTCCTATAGTGTCTGACTAATTTATATTTTCTTAGGTCTTTGCCAATATATGTTGTTCTTTGTTTTCTTATTGGCCACCATTCTGGTTAGAGTGAGATGCATTCTCAATTTAGTTTTGGTTTGCATTTCCTTGATGGCTAAGGATGTTGAAAATTCTGAGTTTGGTGCCTATTTCGATTCTACTTAATAAATCATCTCTTCTGTTGCTGTCTGAAATATTAATACAGTTAACTCTTCTGTCTCTTTATTGTATACACTTGCATAGATTTTTGTACTTATAATCAATTGTATTTGTGTGGCAGGTCTGCATATCTGGCTAGAATACTTGAAGAAATAGCTACAGGCACTATAGCTATTATCACTGATGACATCATGGTTTCATGATGTCTTTGATGGTAGGAACTCATTTTGTTTGTGCTTCCTTTTCTGTAGTTTTAGTAATTCCAGGTCAACTCTGGTCTGAGATAGCAGTAAAACTTAGTAAATTCCATAAATACATATTTAAGAATTTTTAAATTGTGGGTGATTCTGAGCAGCATGATGAAATCTGAATATTCTGCCACATCCTAGCTGGGATGGAGCATATTTTCTTCCAATAAACCCATTCAGTATTTTCTGCTTCCCATCAGTAGCATAGTAGCTTCCTATTTATCAGATCCACTCTCATGATATTTCAGTGTTCATGTTTGGTTCTTCTAGAAGCAGCCTCACACGATGTCAGGGTATTTTTGTCTCTCACCTGACTTCATCTTACCGGGTAGGCACGGTATCATCTGGCTCAGTCCAGAAAGAGTAAGATATAATAAAATATTTTGAGAGACCCTTTCATATGATGTTATTGTAGTATATTGTTATGTTTGTCCAATCTTAATTTACAAATTTGAA